TCATGATGGGCTAACTGGCCTGTTTTCATTCTCATCTATCACCCTTCACTGGTGCTCCGCCAGCGTATCCCATTAGTGCAGGCGGGGTTACCATACCATTTTCACCCATCAAAACAACTCACGTAGAATTGGTTATAAACTGGTACCTCTTATAAATCTCAAATATATAGGTACTAAGAGATGTGTCGAAATACATATTTTAATTTTTTTTAAGCAACTTAGAATGGCAAATAAACTGACGGCCCACCTGATGGAAAGTGGTAACCGTCGCCTATAGATATGAGCAATACCATGGACATAACAGAGTATATATATATTTGCTATGTATTTTTCAATGCTCCACGTTAGCTTCAATATAAACTTATGCTAACCTGAAGACTAGATGCAATTTCCACTTCTGTTACCGCTCGGAACCGGTAGTAGGGCACGGCCTACATAGTAGATGCAACTCACATTTTGTTGCGTTTACATTAAATCAGTGGTTCCCAAACTTTACATTGCACCTCTTTGTAGTGTAAATAGGCGTTGCAAGGTTTTTTTGTAAATAATAATCTTTTACCTCTTTTTTGCTTATCTCTATTTATGTCTGTTGTTATTGGTGTGCTGTAAGTAATGCAAATAAATTATCTATCTATCAAAGGGATCTTATTTTATCTTCTCCGAAAATTTCCTAATGTTGTAAAAAATACCTGTACTTTTAGTCTATAAGGGCGTCTTGACAAAGTAGAAAATATTTAAGTGAGCTGTGAAGGAAAGTTTGGAAACCTCTGGACTAACTTTAAAAGCTCTCTCTAAAGCTGTGGATTATATATATATGGAAAGATATATGAGGTACATTATTTACTTAGTTATTTTATGTTCTAGTTTAAAATAGAAATTTCATATTTTCTATAAAGAACTCGTGCGAAGCCGGGGCGGATTGTTAGTAATATAACAGAATTCCCGCGCAACACTTTATAATTATTAAGAAACGTTCAAAACTATCTCGCTGTCTATATTTTCATAAAGAATACAGTTAACAAGATATAATACCTTGCTCCTACAAAAAAAAAATTACGTCAGACAGGGCTGTACAGGCTTCATTCCATTTGCCTACCTATCCTTTCATAAAAACGATAAGAAAAAAAATAGCGACTTTGACGCACACGGACAAACAATGATTTACTTTTTTTTTAAATATGTACTTTGATTTTTTTTTGGATTTTGATGATATTCCATATTGGACTTTAAGAAAAGAACCCATTCAGAAACATACATTGGTCATAATAATTTAAGAGATTTCATAATTTAAAGGAGATTGTTTCAAGACTTGGCAGCATGGTCTCTGACCTTAGCCTATTCCTCTGAGATACAAATGCACCGAAAAATAAATATATCTTATGGAGATCATTAGAATAAAAATATTTTAATTTAGAACAATTTTGTTTCGCAATGTGCAATGTCATAAACATATTTAATCTCTGCTCACCCCAGGATCAGCGGCGGGGCTTTCAGCTATGGCCAGTATGTATAAGAGCACATGTGCCTTAAAAGGGGAACAGGGATTATTTGTCCTCCTCCCCCCTCCCCCCGCCCCGAAAAATAATTTTGAATATGCTTATGAGCAACGAGATTACTAACACCTTTATTTTAATCATATTATTACAAATTTATAGTGAACTAGCTAGCTTTTTCTTGCTATGTTGTACACATAAATTTCTAAAAGTAGGAAACCAATGAAAGGACCACTTGTAGGTGGCATATCAAATTAATACACATTTTGAATTAATTTTTAAATTAAACCTTTAAGAATACAATTGGGAGCAGTAATTTTAGCGTGACACCATAACAAACATACAGGTAGGCAGAACGAATATGCATGTCTAGTTCAGGTACAGCAATTTCAATCGCCACAAAATCTATATGAAACTAATACTGGGATAAGATACACAATATTTATAAATGTATCATCTATGTATTTATAAGTGCAATAAAGAATATATATAAATATAGTGGAAAAAAAATTAAAAATAAAATTTCTTCAAGTCATAACACAGTGAATGCTCACTTCTTTTTATATTTGGATCACTTAAAATCATAGTTTTATATTTTTATACAACATAGAATGGCAAACAAGCTGACGGCCCACCTGATGGAAAGTGGTAACCATCGCCTATAGACATGAGCAGTACCATGGACATAACAGAGTATACTGTTTCGCTCATGATACCCCCCATGCGTTGCCATTCCTGAGGACTCAGGTGTTATTCCTCTGTACCCAGTAAATTCACGAAACACGTGTTTTACATATAATTACTGTAATGTTATTATATCGAAAAGGAATTTAATTATATGAGTTTTCAATATCCAATTAAAATAAAAAAAAATATTCAATATAATTTTTATAAAAGTAAAAAATAAATAAAAATTATAAAATTGACTGCTGGGGTACCTCTGCCTCATTGATGTCGAATGAGGTGTTTGCACAGTTATATTTCGGTTTGAAAGATGGGATATGATAATGAAATTACAGGTTACAGAGGCATAACACATGCATCCCCAGAAATGGCAATGCATGAGGGGTATCATGAGCGAGACAGTATACCGTTATGCCCATGGTACTGTTCATGACTATAGACGAAAGTTACCACTTTCCGTCAGGTGAGCCCATCAGCTTGTTTGCTATTCTAAGTTGTAAAAAAAGACATTGTGCTATGAAAAGATTTCTTAGATTATTGTTAATGGCGGTTAGTAATAAATAAAATTAAATGATAAAAATAAAAAAACTTACAACACAAATAAATGGTGCTGGTGCCATTTTAGTTTTACCTGTTAATAAATAAAAATAAAGTAATGAAGAAATGAAAATAATTTATTCATAATTATAGAATATTTTTGGTTTACACATATCCATTTTTACAAACTTTTACTTGCTTTAGTATGTAAATCTTTTCATTTAAAATTTGTCATTATTTTAATCTCCTGCTGGTGTCAGACTGCTTTGAAGTATTATGATACCACAGAGCTAGTCTGATGATGAACATAGAAGGTGGTCACAGGTACTTGTGTATTACACATGATAATTCTATCACATTTGTCAAGACAATTGCTCAATTGTTTAGACAAAAACATTATATGTTTTATTCATGTTCCATTGTTGTGAGCACCACAAAGGGATAACTTGTGTGGTGCTCACATCCTGTGTGCCCAGAGTTTAATAAAAAAGCCTAAATGTCATAAAAGGTTGCTTTTAAAAATATTTTTAACAGATTTTTTACTTTGCTCTTTCAGTAAACTTTCCAATAAAAATAATAATAATAATAATAACTAGGCATATGACACCAGAACAGCAGCAGTTTGCAGTTTGTTTTAAAAATATTACTGAAGTAGAAGTTTGTAAATATGTTTACATGTTATTTATTCAACAACACACAGACAGTTGTATGGATTTGAATAAATTTTGTTACACTAATAGACCATATTACAGATTAAAACTTTAGATACTTTTTAATCTATCTTACACAGTTAAATGTAAGGGATATTGCTGGTTAAAAATAAATATTAACATACATGAATGCTTTCAGTTTTTGTTATTAAATATATTATTACACTGTTTGTGTGCTATTAGAATATTTAATTAAAATAAAAATAAATAATAACAAAAGAAAATGTCGAATATAAAACATTAGGTTTTGTATATAAAAAAATATTTGTGTACTATAACATTTGAAAGACTTACTTTGTTGTCTACTTCAAGAAATCGAACGGAGCACCTATAACAAATAAAACTTAAATTAATTATGTAGTTCTATGTATGTTGAGAATTGTTATACCAAATATATGTGATTTATAAACAAAATAAAAGAAAAATTGCGTATTATTGTCTCGATTAAAACCTACCTTTATAATCAGTTGTAAAAACCGCATACCTAATTATTTACTAAAACATTTTAGCACAATAAAAGCAGCATTTTTATTGAATATTTATTATTTCGAAACACCAACATATTTTGAATTTTATTTGGATTTTTCTATTCAAATTAAACAAAACAACCTTGGGTGAAATTCACCAATCAATCAAATTTTGAACATTCCGTTTTAGTGATTTTCACATTTGTTGCTTATTACTTTAACAATGTTATCTTTCACGCAGTGAAACTGTCAAACTGTTAATATTATTTTGCGTCAATCGAAACATAGTGAACGAAATTTGCGTTCGGAAATATGGCATAAGTTAAGACATCTGTAGACGATCAATACAATAACAAATTTTTCTCTAGGACAAGAGATACATCGTCTATTTTATTTTACAGGTTGCAATAACTTATTGCAATAACCGTGAAAGAAAGCCATAAGATATTAGAATACCCATCTTCATCATAAATTACTTAAGATGGCGTTCTCTTAATTATTATATACTATATATTTCGCTTTTTTTTTTATCAAATTATTACAAAATAGTTTTTCTGTTCTGAGACACTAAACACCAGTCTTTTTATATGGTCATCGGATTGTCATATAATAATAAAATTTAGTAGAAAACGTTGCACCCATTATAAAATGGAAACGATATGTACCAAAAGCGACAGTAGTACACATGAAAAACAGTCACTGTTTTCTATTAGACAAGTCTTTAGCTTATTTATATATAGGTAAATATGTGTAAAAATGTGCTTATTTACACATATTAAATATATTTTATAAATATATGTAAATATATGTAGGTAAATATGTGTAAAAATGTGCTTATTTACACATATTAAATATATTTAATTACCTATATTCAAAGGTTGTCTAGAAGAGATTGTTTAGCAATAAGACCGCCTTTTGTACTACTCTATACTTATTGAAAATTCTTCAACAACTGTAATTTGGGTGCAATAAAGTGTTAAATAAATAAAGGTCAAAGATAAATACGCGAATTGTCTCCTAAGTCACTTACATATTAAATAATAATTCAGATTTAGTTTTAATACTAACCCTGAGTCATAATGGACAAATTTAATAAATGAAAGTCATACTTGTGAGAAACATTTTATTCGCAGTTGTAAAAACTGTACAGTCCTAACAAACTTATAAATTAACATTATATTATGGACCTTCCGCATGGCACTGCTGACAATATAAGCCACAACTCATCAATATGTTGGATTGCATTCCTACACTATGTTGCAACTTACTTTTCAACGTTTTTCATAAAACTTCAGTCAATCATTGTGAATATGTAAAAATTTTGATCGAAAAATGAATATGTAGTAAAAGTTTCAAAACGTGTTTACAATATGCCAATTATTTTACACAATCGATACATAGTATATTCATGAGGATGTTTGAAAAACTCATTGATTATGTAAATTTGAACACAATACAACCGCTTCTTACTCTAAAAAATGGGGTAAAAATGTTATAGTATGTAATGTATTTACATTTGAAAAAAGCACCGTTTTTGACACAGGCGTTTTAATATGAATAGAATATTCAAGATTTATTGTTTTTAAGTGTAGCAAAATGTGGTAATTTAATGTAACTGAATGTTGGGCTAAAAACATATCTGCACTATAGAAGAAATTTAATGTAACATTCTATAGAAATACAGTATTCACTCGAGACATTACCACCATTATGATTAAGCGTATAAACAAACAAAAAAAAATTGAAAATACATTGCTCTTGATCTTATAACAAAAATGAATAATCCATATATTATTATTTCTGTGTAGCAAAAATTGGAAATGCCCTATATTTCTGTTAATCAAAAGCACATATTATAATACCATAAAGTTAGTATAGGGTTCACTAATACAGTTAAATAAAAAAAAAAAAAACTGTTTAATACTCCTATTTAAATAAAGTTTTAACAATTTAAATTATTATATATTCGAATGGATTTTACTTGCTATGTTATATTGTATTAACAATAATATAAGGGTCAACAAAAACTAAAATCGATTTATATGTACATTAGAACTAATTTTTTTTTTTTTATATATAACATGACGATGCAATCGGACTAAGTATCCACTTGGGGTTCGTATGTGAGTGAACTAAAACTAGAGTCAAGACGATTTTCAAAATGCAACACCACACCATGGTGATTATATAAAATGAAATGCACTGTGCTGATGGAAATATAGCTTCATTCATAAGAGAATAGGGTTCAAAATTGACCATTTCAATTGTTCATAACGTAATCAATAGAACAATTTGTATTTTGCTATTTAGTATTTAGTTGTAGTGCAATAGAAGAAACTTGCCAGAATAAAATAATATTGCGAAAAAAGTATAGGAGAAATTCTTTTACCAATTATTATTATATCATTGATAAGGTCACTTCTCGTTTAAATTAATTTTTTTTTACCACTGAGCAAATATCTCCCAAACACCGAATTACGATAAATTATATTTCTACAAAATTATTGTCACCTTGATAGAATAAACATCATTTCACACGTGTGTGTGAAAATTTAAGAAATAAAATGTATTCGAATTTCAAATGTTAATTTTTGCTGTTACGTGACGTTTGTCCTATCATGGGTGACTATTTTTCTTACGCCTATTCGATTGCATAGGCGTCCTGCACGATTGCGTATAGCAATATTAAATAAACATTTACACGTCATATTATATTATAAGTGTTACGCTAATAGAAATAAATAAATATTTAGAATAAATGATTCAATTCGACCCTGCACCTAACTGATAGTGACTAAAATCAACTACATACATTTTATATACAAAACTATACGAAAGTGTCGTTAAATAAAAGTAAACGGGTAATGCATTAATCATAATTCGTTGCAATACAACACAAAATATAATAAATAATAGATATCTATTAACATTCAACAATTATAAACTAATGGAAGTGTGACGAGCGTTCCGGTGTCTCAAATTCAATCATTATTCAAGTAAAAAAAAAAAAAATAATGATTATTGATTTAGTTTTAATTACATGTTGTGTATATATATATATATATATATATATATATATATATATATATATATATATATATATATATATATATATATATTTGAATGCTCGTAACACTTCTGGAGGTTTATTTACTCGACCATTAAGTTTATTGTACTGTTTGCTAATAAACTCAATGTGACGTAGTATTTAAATCGAGCGATATTAAACCCAGTGTCCATATATTTAAGGGCCGATATACATCGGCAGGGATATGTTGCGAACATTTCAAATGGGCCGCGTGAAATTCGCGGGGAACATGCCCTTCTCGTTGGTCGACTCCTTGATCCCCATTAACCAGCCTTCCTCCTGAAAGAACAAATTATAAAATATTTATTAAATAATTAATACTGGCGGCCTGTCCCGGCGTCGCACGGTGGACATTTTTAACATTTCCCTTCACTGCTCTGCTCCTATTGATCGTAGCGTGATGAAAAGTATACTATAACCTGTCCAGGAGTATGAAGAATAATTGTTCCAAGTTTCGTTAAAATCCGTCGAGTAGTTTTTGTTTCTATAACGAACATACAGACAGACAGACAAAAATTTTACTGATTGCATTTTTGGCATCAGTGTCGATCACTAATCACCGCCTGATAGTTATTTTGGAAATATATTTCATGTACAGAATTGACCTCTCTACAGATTTATTATAAGTATAGATAGATTAAACAGCTACTGTAAACATGACGAAATATAATTACCGATTTTGGAAAAATATAATAAACTACAAAAGTAATTTCTTTAAATATTTGACATCAATCATGGTTTGTTCATTAAAAAAGAAAATTGCAAAATTTGGATAAAAAAATTTCACGCTTTCAGATGTATGTTTTGTAATGTAGTGAAAGCTTAAGTATTTATTTTAGTATTACATAGTACATGAAAGTTAGGTTTTTTTTATGTAGCTTAGAATGACAAACAAGCTGACGGCCCGCCTGACGAAAAGTGGTAACCGTCGCTTATAGACATGAGCAGTACCGTGCACATAACAGAGTATACTGTTTCACCCATGATACACCCTATGCGTTGCCATTCCTGAGTACTCAGGTGTTATTCTTCTATATCCTGTAAATTCACGCCATATCCCACCCATCAAACCAAAACACAGCCATGCAAACACAACTGCTTCACGGTAGAAACACGAATGGGACAGAGGTGCCCAAGCAAACGACCTTTGTACAAAGTTCCTCCGCCTGACTGGGATAAAAATTAGTTTATATCCTTATCCAACCTTAGTTTCACATTTATAACATTAAATAAGAGTACCTGTTCGTCGGGGTCGTCATACTCGACGACGCGTATGATGTCACCGACGTCGAACGAGAGCTCGTCCGAGTCCTCGCGCGTGTAGCGGTAGGTGGCGCGCACGCGGTACAGCGTGCCCGCCGGCAGCCCCGCCAGTGTTGCCCCTGCGGACCATTCCACAAATTTTAACATCAACAAAACGAAAAAAATATCATTGCCCATATAGGTCGGGTATCTATTTTGGAATATGTTAAAAGTCTATCTAATATATATTTTTTTAAACAACTTAGAATGGCAAATAAGTTGACGGCCTACCTGATGGGAAGTGGTAACCGTCGCCTATAGACATGAACAGTACCATGGACATAACAAAGTATACTGTTTCGCCCATGATACCGCCCATTTTTATTGTGTTTTAAAACTCACTTGGAATGGGAAGATTAGACAACGCAAATCATATTTTTTTAGTCTGTTTGTTTTTGTCTAAGGCAACATTTATGGTCTAAAAAGAAATATTTCGTTCCTAATATATAATAGCAAATGGCGGCAATGTTCCTTTTTTTCGCTCCTCCTAATTATCTTTATGTATTTTATTAATCACATACAACAACTTCAGTTTATTGAAATATTAAGAAGTAAGTTTAGAAAAATGACGCCACAGATTCGGTCACGTTGTTGTCTAAAAATTAAGCATCTGCATAAAATTGCATACATTCTGCTTTCCAGCCTCACTAGACAAGTGGCAAATGAATCTATCAATAGAATCGTTATCGGTAGGCGATTTTATAAGATAGAATAAGACGGAGACGTCCTCTGTCTTGTTCTTTCTTAAGCGGGCGCCAACCGAAAAGATATTGCCGAATATTCGTTTGCCTATTGACTAGGAGAACTGTTATAGTGACAGGAAAATCATAACATATTGTGTGAATGAGGTCCTAAGAACGAGGAATTACATAGAAGGAATGATAAAATAAAAACTTCATAGCAGGCTAGTGTATAGAAAATGTTATACGGCTGTACACATGAGCAGTATCATGGATATAACAGAGTATACTGTTTCGCCCATGATACCCTCCATGCGTTGCCATTCCTGAGGACTCAAGTGTTATTCCTCTGTACCCAGTAAATTCACGCCATATCCCACCCTTCAAACCGAAACACAGCCATGCAAACACAACTGCTTTACTTAAACAATAATGATTAATGTATTGCTATGCATATAAAAAAAGCACATACCAAAATGCAACTACGCATGCAATACATATAAATGCACAAAATAATTACATAACTAGCCACATATATATAAATAATAAACCTTTTGCAAGTAAACAGTACACCTAAACATAAGAAATACATTTACAATATAATAAGATAGATATTTGTTGTAGAAAAATATGATGCAAAAACATACTTACTTTACCATTATGTTATTACCATCAGGTTACCATCAGGTAATAACATAGGTTATTTAATTAGTTTTTTTTTGCTAGTTATTTGATTAAATTATTAATATTATTTTTTATTATTTCTTTAAGTAAATCATTAGACCACTGTTCGGAGACTAGAGGCGTTTGGCACCCAAACAGCGAAAGATGCCTAGTTTTTTTTTTTATGTGTGAAAATGGTATGGTAACCCCGCCTGCGCTAACGGGATACGCTGGCGGAGCACCAGTGAAGGGTGATAGATGAGAATGAAAACAGGCCAGTTAGGCCATCATGATGAATTCATCAGGAATTAACCATGATAGATTTCAGGGGGAACCGCGAGGAGGTCGACCTGGTTGGGTATATTGCTAGCAATAGGATTCTCAGTCTCCATCACTAACAATCCCTTTCCCCCCAGATGCCTAGTTTTGAGGCGATACACGTGTCGCACAACGTGCGTGAACGAAATGGTAGTCGGAGATTGATGGCTAATATGGAAGGTTGTACCGACAAACGTAGTATAGGACGACCCTCACTCGATGGAGTGACGATCTCAAACGCATTGTAGGGAGTCAGAAGCAGGTAGCTCAGGATCGTTCCTTATGATAGTCTGTGGGGAGGCTTATGTCCAGCAGTGGACGGATAATGGCTGAAATGACGACGATGATGGAAGGCTGTGGAACTTCTGGTAGTGAGAGTGGTGGTCCTTTTTTCTGTCATCAATGTCCAGGGGAACCCAGTATTTAGATATCAGAGTGGTACCGGCATTATCTATACCTATTTATTATTACAAAAGCAATTTATTCATAGCAAACAAACCTTGCTCACACTAACCTCTTTTGAAAATACCTGTTTTTGTCAATCCTCTTTTTTCGATATACTTTTTTATGCTACTATAGTGACCAAGAAACGGCTAATCAATATGATTTATGTTGATTTTTTTATGATGATTACTGTAGTCTATGGACAACTGCAATAACCCTAGTATTGGCGACTTTAAGAAACCTTAAGAAGAATAAAGAATAAACCTTATTTAAGAATAATTCTTATCTCCTTACAATAGAGTTTAATTTACGACCTAAAACTGGCCTATGCCCAGCCAGTGGCAATGTTAAGATGATAATTTTAAAAATATTTTTTTTTTATTACAAAATTTTAGCATTTTAAATAGTGATTTTTAAAATAGAATGCATGTGCAATAAAAGTTAATAAATGCAATAGATATATACAGTTATTTATTATTATGTATATATTTTACAAAATCACTTACCATACAAACGACCATGTTAAACCGTCCCCTCTGAAGTATTTTGTTATTATAAAATTATTATTGTATGTATGTATGTGCTTCTAAATCCTATTCACATTAAGAGTGACATTTTTTTAAAATTCAATAATAACAGAATCTAAAATATACGGAATATCATAAAAAATTATAGGATTTTTTTCATAATAAAAGAATTTATTTCGATAATTATAAAATTAATGGAACGGGACGCTAAACATTATTTACTATATAAATACATACTATTAAGTGAGTCTGGATTAAAGTAGGTTTTTTTTTTTTTTTTGTAGAACAACTTAAAAAACATCACGTAAATTATTTAAAATTACCAATTCAGCTTGAGGCTTGAAAGGCTGACCAATTTAAAACTCTAGGATTTTAAGTGATTTTTAAGTATAATTAATTGGGTTATTTTTGAACAATATTTTTTTTTTTTGCACTTTCTGCACTGCCAAACATTTAATCTATATGGTTGTTATAATTATTAGATATTGTAAGGCACTTTCAATTTAAAATAAATCATTATAGGTACATAAATATATATTTTTATGAAATATATTTATTTAAGACAGCATCAATAAATACTGTTATATATAAAACAACAATTAATTTCCCTTTTTTTTTCTATAATAATTATTAATATAATTAATTGTTAGTTGTAATGTATAATTTTAATGTAATAACTACAGGTTTAATTTACGTGTAATTAAATCGAAAAAAGCTCAACTAGTTTCGGGATCAATTCGTGATCCTTAATCATTAGCGGCTGCGATGTGAGTGCGAGCCTTTCTGCACCGCTGAACGTGAACTGTAGACGCTTACGCCATGTATATATGTATGTATGTGTATATATATATATATATATATATATATATATATATATATATATATATATATATATATATATATATAGGGCCCAAGACTTACATATCTAGTGTGAAGTTTTGGGAACATTTCAAAACATGTATTTTTATTATTATTGTTACAGACAAGACAGTCAGACTTGTTCTCGCATTACAGTCGCTCATGACTAAGGATCAAGATTTGATCCCAAAACTAGTCGAGTTTTCTCGATCTAATTACACGTAAGCTAAACCGGTAGTTAATACATTAAAACACAATGTATACTTATAAATGTTTTAATAATAAAATTTTAATGTATGTATAATACCACTCTCATTGTGAAGAGGACTTTACAATAAAATCTGAACTCACCAACGGGTATGTCGTAAACCTCATCACCCTTGTGCTCATTAGCACTATCTTTCTCTTTCTCACTTGGCTTTTCTACGTCTACTTGTCTTTTTTCTTCATTACTAGGCGACTTTTCTGGTGCCACCGGCGTCGGTGTTCCTGGGAGAATTGTGTACTATTGTCTACAAAACGTAACCTGATCTAGTTTTATGTACTGTATGTATTTACACAGGGGTCTTTGTAGAGTGGACATGGTAGCTGAATTACTATATAAACATGCGTCTAACTACGACCAACATATAATTAGTGAATCTGATTTTATACCTTTACCTTCTTATTTACATGGACGGTCGAGTGTCCTCGATAAGAGTGAGTAGGGGTTAAATGGAAACGGGAGTTTTATTTTAGAAACAGATAGTTTTTTTTTACAATATTACACAAGACCTTTTTTTATTGTTAGTCAGTAGGACCTAGTATGTTTTTCCAACTGGAACTCCTTTTTCCACCAGTACCTGTTCTCTTGACATATGTTTCGTAAATACTACAGTTACCTGAAACGTCCGCATGACTGATAAAGTACTTACCGACAGGTATGTCATACAACTCCTCGACCTTCTTTTCTGGTGAGGAGTCGTCTCCATTGGTGGTTTTCTCCTCGTCCGAGTGCCGCGCCGGCACCGGCGGAGCATTTTCCGCTGCGGCAGCGGGCGGCGGCGTGCCCGGGCTCACCGGCAGCGTGGCGGCCGCGGGGGGGCCGTCCGCTGCGGTGGCGGAGGCGGCGGGGGCCACAGGCGAGCCCTCGGCGGGGGACGCGTTGCCATTGAGCGCGGGGGAGGGGGGCGCTACACACACACACACCACAACGTACACTCCATGCATGGCCACACGAATACAATACAACGAGTGTATTATTGAATTACTAGAATTCACAGTCACCATATTAAGTTAAACGATTTTTTTGGTTATTAATTTAAGAAATTTGTCTATATTTATGCTCTATTTTTGCAATAAAAAGGCATGTCAAGATTGTTTAAAAGTTGCGTTAAATAAAAAAAATCCGATTATACCTATCATTACGTTTATAGATCCACATTATTCACCTTCAAGGTTTCAAGTGACAAACTGAAGATAATACAAAAATAATCTCAATAATACACTCGGATCAAGAATCGGGTCAAGGTTAACACGCTGACCTAAAATCATCGCTCAGGACAAATTTAGATCACGAATTAAGCATGGTTATTGTGAGACTTCAACATCAAAGACCACGCCGCTATGAATAACAAACGATTTGAACAATTGCGTTAATAAAAACTTGCAACTTCGGACAAGTTACATAAAAGCTTGACTGCAGTCTCGAAATAACCATAAATTCTATAATAAAACTCGAAATGTTAGTCAAAAGACTTCAAATGCATCGAATCTCCACAACACTGCTAATAAATTAGCTTCAAACGCGAAACACACCACATAAGCTTTCAATTAGTATTGCCATTGTATATAAAACTAACAATGCATTTGGCTTTGTTTCTACCTTATATTTTTTTTATATTAGGCAACAATATACACAAATATATTTTTTATGATGACTTAATATTAGATTATTGCCTCAAATGTAAAAATAAAGTTTTTTTTTAATATTTACGTTTATATTTGTGCAGCAAGTTGATTATTCCCCAACCTACCCTAGATTTATTTTCTTTAAGGACACAAATTTCATACAAAATCATGGTATGAAATACTGATTGTTATTACAATACACCTGACAAGGTAATGTTATTACATTATTGTACTTTCTGCAAGGTAGGTTTTTCTTTATTCTATCTGCGATTTAAGTGTTCTTCATTTATGAATAATACATACGTATTATTCATAAATGAAGAATAAGTAATTTATAAAATACGTAGTGTTTGATCAGTCTACGCACCTAACCTACACTAAGTTTTTTGATGAACAAGACGTCACCCATCTATGGGCACGATTTGGGAATGAAAGTGTTTTACTGTATGAACAAATTTTAAGTAGAAAACTTCAGAATTACATTTTACAATTGGAGAATTACATGTTACACTTACAGAATTACGAATATCTATGGATTTACGTTCATTTCTAAGGAGGATCGACGTAAGCCAGGCGGCCAGTCGCAAAACCAAAAGTCAAAACGTTTTTGTGATATAAAAGAATCATATTACGCCGACCTCATAATTGGGATAAGGGCAGGAAGATGATGACGAACTATGGAATTACGTACTTGTCAGTCATATTTAGCGTAAAACATAATCCGTAGTCGACCCAATTTTACCCCCTGATTTATTTTATACCGCTGAGGTGGAAAACAAGTATACGGCCCACCTGCTGGTAAGTGGTTACCGTAACCAAAAAAATGATGGTCAAAGTCTATTGTAGTAATAGATTCTAGATCACCATCATTCGAATCATCATCGAAGGTCTCTGACGATGCTCAAGGTAAAGAGGGTTTTTTCTACGAAACACTATCGGTATATAGTGGCCAAGTAAGGTAGGGAGGGTACTCACTCTGCACGGCGGAGGGCGCTGAGTTGCCGTTGTGCGCGGTGATCTGCGAGTTGGCGGTGGGCGAGGCGGCCGGCGAGATGTTGTTCAGCACTGGCTTCTTGGTGTACGAGCCGCGCTGGCACTCGTTCGCCAGCTTGTCTGTGATGGCCTCCAGTTCCGCGAACACCTGTAATAGGTGTCGATGATAAGTGATAATGTTGCAAGCATTTAAGAACTACGTTTGTCGCTTACTTAGGCGAATCTTTTTTTATAAGACAGAGAGTAAAGGAGCACGCGGCTCACCTGATGGTAAGTGACTACCACCGCCCATGATCACCCGCAACACCAGAGGCATTGCAGATGTGCTGTCGGCTTTTTAAATAGGAATATGCTCTTCTCTTGAAGTTTAGTTCGGTTCGTAAATACTGCTGCTCTAAGCTGATACCAAAGCGTGGTTGAGGAAAACCGCCATTTATATCAGATGGTCAGGATAGAACTTGAGTTTGTAGTAGGTCCGTCTGAGCATATAAGTGTAAGGGAGTCGTATAAGCATATAATCAGCCTGATGGTAAGTAAACAAAGTAAGTGGAATGATTGCCACTTGTATTGCGTAAAAGAACACGTAAAACTCCTTGGAGTTTTTGAACTCATTGGAGTGGACGATTTATTGACATTGGTCAATTAAAAATCGTTCAAATTTTTAAACAACCTGCAAAAGAAAATTCCGAATTTGTTAGTACATACATATATCTCTTTTTTTTAAATATATATTACGTTGCTAAATCTGAGTGGAATTTGATAGCTTTTTTCGAAATCGATTGTATTATTCTAGATTTCAGATTGTCCTACATTTTCTGGATCATCTTCTGTAACTTTAATCACTTTAGTGTTTATAAACACAACTTGTAAGTTACAGACATTTTCTTACCTTCGAACTCTCCGAGTGGAAAAGTTGCTCAGCGCTAAACAGGGTCTGCAGATTGTTTACGTAGAAGAGCACCCGTGAGTCGTATAAAGCTGGCAGTTCGTCGTGCAATTCCGAGTTCAGGACCTCGTACGTGCGTTTAGCTTCTTCTAGTTGTTCACGACCCTTCGTCACCTGTAATAGAAGAAATGACTCGTAACTGCATGCTCCAGCATATAGAATTTTGAAATCAGCATGAACCTTATGGGCAATACCTCTATAATAATAAAAGACAATATTATTTTTCAAGTACAGACATCGCTTACTTAAAATTTTGCTCTACCTATTAGTAAGACAATTTGTAAAGAGATTGTAATGCAATACATAATAAGGTAGATATCCTGTGCAATATATAATATAGTGCACTGGTGGCCAACTTGACTAGACCCAAGATCTACTGTTTACTGACGAAGCCCTGTGCGATCTACCAATTACTTACTTGAAATCACAAATGAAACAACATAGTTCAGTACACAATTATGTAGTGTTGTAGTATTTTTTATTTTATTAAGTAGGAAAACAGAAAACTGAATATTATTTTTAGTAACTACTTATTTATATTAGTGTGAGCATTGTGTCTGAGTATCTTCCTTAAATTAGCCAAATTTTATATTTTTTGCCTTTGCTACGATCGTCTGGGCCAAAAGTCGTGATCGATCGTGACCATCCCTGATATAGACTGTATAGGCTTTATCAAGATGCGTTAGATAAATTTTAGCATCAAAACAAAATAAAACTTGCTACTATGTACACGTGTTGTACAAGTACAAAGGGTCGCAAATTATGTCATTCTCTACTTACATAGACCCTAAGATTAGAAATTACTTTGTTATAATCTACAGCATGATGTAATAAACTATATAAAGGAGTAAACAAACAGCATCATGGTCACACAACGGCGCCAGTATCTTATCACCCACCTTGACATCGTCCCTCCGTTTCGCGGCGTTCGCTTGCAAGTTCTGGAAACTGTGCCTTTGACTGTCGTAGTCCACCAATTTGCGTCCACGTTTTTCAACTTTTTTCTGAAAAGAAATCGATTTAATTTTAATTTTTGGTATTGAAATAACGATCGGTCCCGGGGTCGATGTTATTATGAAGTTACAAAAAATTTATATATCTATATCTATATTTCTAGGGGGAAAGTTTGGAAATGACAAACAAGCTAGGCTCATAGCTTAGAAAACCTGATAAGGTTTTCTAAATTGTCATCGACTAAGTTTTATCTAATAGATATAGTTACCACTTAGATGAAAAGTGTTATAAATTAATGTCTTACCATATATAAAGTGAAATGGTATACATGAATATTACATACCAAAGATATCATAGAAAACTATTATAACCATGGTATGGTATGGGAGAAAATTGTTAGTAATGGAGTTAATGACCTCATTGTTAGCAACATGTAACTATGTCGATCTCTACGCAATCCCTTTGAAACTTCAAAATCAGAGTGTTCCTTCTAATACAAGTGTTATAATCATTTATTATGTAATAAAGTATTAGGGTAAAAATTTTAAAGGGCATGTTACTTTAGTTAGGAGAAGTTGAGAGATTTTTTGATTAGAGAGACACTTATAGGAGAGATAGGATAATGTAAGAATTGTATGTAACAATAGAGGCTTTGGCATTGGATATCAATAAGGATCTTTGTGTGGATATGGCTCCTTCCATGTGGTCCCAACGTATAATGGGCTAACTCTTTCTTTCCCGTGGGAATTATCAGAGGCAACTTAGAAAATTTAATGGTCGACGAATGGACAGCAGCGTTCCTCTTAAAACATCAAAGCCCCTATATGGAAGAGGCCTACGTCCACCAGTGTACGGCTGATATGATGAAGGATCTTGGCGTGCAGATAGATCATTAAATGTATTATATCTTACCTTAACTTCAGGAAATTGGTTGGTGTACGTGTTGAGCGGTATGAGAACTTGATCGCCGAGCTTGTGCGAAAAGTCTTGCCAGAGCATCTCCATGTTTTGAGCCTGTACGTACAACAAGTCGTGACCGGACCAGCCGCTCTCGTACGCCTCCGTGATCGCTTCCATCAGCGACTTTGAGGCTGTTTGGACCGCTGGAAACATTATATTTAATTGGATCAGATGTCAATTTCAATATATCAAAAAGAGACTTTGCTATATGTGCCACTATCCCACTCGTGTTGCTAAGCTGCAGAATCTACATTGTTATGTCAGATTGCTGATGCCATATCTCGTATTATTCCTGAGGATTAAGGTGTTATGTCTATAACACCTTACCATTTAGAATAGCAACGTGTTTCGTAGTAACAGTATCGACTAGGCTTTATCCCTTCCCATTGTATTCTAATATCCTCGGCGAAATGTTAGTACATCAAGTGTTACATCCATCATAACTGCCACAGCCGACAAATACCTATGATTAGGGGGAAAGGGATCGTTAGTAATTGGGTCTAATTGACCCATTGCTAGCAATACACCCTATCAGGTCAATGTCCACGTGGTTCCCCCTGAATAGTAGTGGAATTCTTCACGATGGGCTAACTGAACTGTTTTCATCGTCACTTCATATCATCTATCACTGGTACCCTGCCAACGTATACCGATAGCGCAAGCGGGATACCATTCCATTATCACCTATAAAAAAAAAAAGCCTATGATTACCCCGATTAGGGATTTTTGATATATTTATTTCATTTTATCGTGAAATACTAAACAAGGTCTAAAGTATAATTAATATGAACCAACCTCGAATACATCTTATATAGTTGTTGAACTCCTTCTGTAACCTAAGCGCCTGCTGGTGCTGTCGGTTGAAGTTCTGCAAGTGCTCCTCGAAGATATCGTCGAGGGTACGGTCTACCTTGCCCAGGTTCTGGAGGAACTGTAACCAAGCAAATATAAAAATGAGCATTGTATGCACATTACAATTCTAACGAACATATTTCCAGAGCGTTAAAGTCCTAAAATCTTTGACACTAAAGGCCCTATAAGCTTAATTTTTGGCTTCACCGAAACGTGTTGTTATGTGAGATTAAGACTAGATTCTATAGTAGTAAAAGAAAAATAACAATAAAAACATATAAATATATTAGGTACTAAATCTTTATAAGCAAACAACTCAGTAAAGATTTAAAAACAAACAAATATGACTATGAAGATAAATAAAAATGTACAACAAAATTGAGAAGCACTTCCGTTTGGAATTCACTTAAAAATTGAGTTCATGAAAATTTTTTAAGAAATAAAAGTAGTAATCGTAGAAAAACAAGATTTTTTATTATAGCAAGACATGTGACCACACCATCGAAAGCGAACAGAAAGATAACATGGGTCATGAATACGACCAACCGAAAATATAATGTTCTACTCTGTTATACTTTCAACGGTTGGCCGCCCTGTGTCGGTTCACTAAGTGTTGGAGGTTATAGGATGAAGGAAACACATCACTGGATAATAAAAGATGATGGGAAAATGAGGAAGGGTTTCGTGTAGAATGGATAGAAGAACAAGAAGACTTAATAATCTATAGATATTTGATGCAGTATTAAAACTTTTAAACTTAATCACAGCAATTTGCACGTTGCATTAAATGTATCCATCGAGTTTAGACGTTAATTTAAATAACGCCCCCATTGTGTTAATATTCAGTGAATTTTGTCACCGCTAATTACATCTGTCACGGCTACATATGCATCACGTTGTGAAATTCAACAGATGAACTAACAGAATGTTGCGAGGTGAACCACCTACTCGATCGTATGTTTTTTAAAATAAAAAAATACTACTAGACCATATTATTTTTAAAACATGTTCGTTTTTAACGATGTTTACATGCATGTATAACGTGAATTTTATTAAGTTACTATATTTGTCGTTACCGACAAACATAGACTTCACGGGTTCTGCGAGCTGCAGCCTACAGTGCGAGACGGAAAGAGCAGCACGCCCACTGAAGACTTCGGGATGAAATAGAAACAATTGTCGTAATCGACAAACAATAATTCAATACAATTCCTGTTATACACAACTAGACCATCTTACATAGCTTAATCTAGTCTCAAACTACTTATTATTATTGAAACATTTCATTGCTATTTTCTAAGAGTGGAACTAATCATCTTCGAACCTGCCGTGCATGCTTGAGATATATAAATAGATGAAGCTGAAGAAATGTTAAGTTGAATTGAAAAGGACTATATGTGTGAACAGAGACCTTTAGTAGTCTATTCTATCTACCGTGGAAAGAATTTGTCGTGCAGATAGTTAATTCAAATAATTCTATTTATTTCTATAACGAACGTATACACAACCTATTCTAACGAGAGCGGTACATCGTTTCGTAAGAGAATCCAATCCGTCATCACGTCGACCTTGTCGTAGACAATCGTTGCAAGGCCCATTGTGTGCAAACTGTGTACGGTACACCTGCCCTCCGACTCGCTGATTACATCTCACAGCACAATTGGCATTTTGAACGTGTAGACGGTTTGAAAATTTCTCAATGTATAATATTTGTGTGTATTATTTTTTTTAAACAAATTTCTTGTACGACGGTCTTCATGGTATAGCTGTTTAATACTTCACCTTAAAATTCCGATATCGCGGTTGATCGTTTCAATTGATTTTTAGTTCACAAATCGATTGTTTCTTATAATATTTATTAGAATGGTAAACAAGCTGACAGTCAACCTTATCAAAACTGATAACTATCGGCTCCATATCATGAGAATCATCATGGATATCACAGAATACTTTGCGATGCTCTTAGCACAGATTATGAGTTGCCATTCTTGAGAATTATGGTGTTATTTAAAAAGCGAAAATCGAAACACCGCCATGCAAGAACGGTTGCTTCACAGCAGAAATACGGAAAAAGGTACTAAATCTTTGCTACAATCTAAGATCTGCTAAGACTTTGGTACAATCTGCCTGTAGAACTTATAATTACACTAATTACAATACTAATTCTTTTACTAATATTGTTTAAATTAAAGCAATTATAATTATAATGATGATCACGTTTATTACTGCTCATAATTTTTTGTCTAGACGTAATATTCTAAGGAATCATGGACGTCTGATTATCTATATGATTAATTTAGACAAACAAGAGAACCGCAAAATCAATTATGTGACTCTAATATAGGCAACCAGTTAGTAAATATGGAAATGTATTATAACATGAATAATTTGGTGGGTGCGAATAATGCTCACAATCTCCAATTTGGGATACATGACGCAGTCGGCGATCGTCAACACAAGAGACCATTAAAACTATTTTGGATTCTCTACCAGCGCAGGATTAAGGGTTTGGTGGAGCTTTAATTAAAAGTTATTTATCGATATTTTTTACTATATCCCAAATAAAGAGGTTGTTAATTCGTCTATTTATTTTGTATAGGCACACAGTTGTTGTTACGACATTTCTCCAGCAATTCTGAACCGATTTCTAATTGTTTTTGAAATCGAAAAGGTGGAAGTAAACCTTTCGAATCGAAAAGGTTTACTTCCATGTTGATCCTATTTTATTTTGTAACTATTAAAGCTGTCATTCTTCCTAAAGCAAGAAACTGCTTGTTGTATAAAAAATCTATACACGAAAACATAATATTTAACAATGCACAAAACATATTGTCATTCTGTGGTCACATATTATTTGGCTTCTTTTTTGTGGAGTAATAACTTGTTAATATACTTAATAATACAGATCTGATGTTTCAAAAGTTTCAGTTTTCATTCTTGAAACAAATTCAATTATTGGCAATGAACGAATATTTATTTTCTTTTGCTATTGACGCGACTGTTTTTGTATTTCTTACTTTTGTCAAATTATTAGAACAAAATAGCTTTATAATATTAATGCTACACTATGTGTACTGAATCGGTTAATCCATCGAATGCATGCCAATGTATGTGCCTTTGTGTCAACGGCCGATGGTTATCCATTGTTTCATGCAGACAATATAGTGTATGATAATAGATACCATGAAAGCAATGCACTTACTTGGTCTTACCAAGAAAGTCCACATATGGTTTGACTGAATCATCAGTCATATTTGTTTTATTAATTATAACATGAATGAATTTGTAATGGACAAGTTAATAATCTTATTTAATGAAATTTGATAATTTAATTTTATAATTAACAGACTCATCATCCACTATAATTCTACAAAATTATAAATGTGAAAATATGTAAAGATATTTAGATGTTTATTTTTTAGTTAATTAAGCTTAAAGAGTTAAACGGATTTGAACGAAATTTTATCTATCTTATTATTCCATAGGATACTTTATATACTGTTTCACACGGGCAAAGCCGAGGGAAACAACTACTTTTCTATAAATAATGGTCCTGAGGTTGCCGTGTTACGCAACAATCAATTTGTCCAAATTTGACGGAAATATTTGAATTCAATGTAGCCGAGGGCGAACCAACCGCGTTCCCTTTAATTTAGATTGAAATTAACATATTCTGTGATGCCCGTGGTACTGTTTACATCTACAGGCGGTTATTATCACTGTTCAATTCAAGTTGCATAAAAAATATTTATTGAAATGATTCTACGTATTGCAATGACCAATTACATTTTAATAATTTCATATCATCCAAAAGCGGTAAAATGTCCATGTCTCTATAGCTCTAGATCATCGGTTACCATAATTTGAAGCCATTTCATATTCGGTAGTCATAATTAGGTAAAGCGCATTACCATCATTACGTCTTTCGTCACGTCATATCCGCTGGCGTTTCCTTTCATTTTCGATTGTTGACCGAGGCCTTCAATTACACTATTGTCTCTGCGCACGCGTCTTTCTTCAATTTCATCGTTACAATGAGCCTTACTGTCACGCATTTAGGTTCATTATCGTCTTAACACGAAATCTGATTTGGGATTCAATCAATTAGCGTGGACGAGTAATGGATAATATAATTAGAATCAGTTGGTTGCTTTGTTTCTAATCTTTCGGTCCATTTCTATTATGCATAAAAGAAATCCTTTAAATCAGAAAATTCATTTAAGAAATCTTCAATTGCCCTTTGATCCTCAGGCTACTAATTTCCTGCTGTTAGTCTGTTACTTAAATAGCAGAACACTACGTCTTAATCTTCGTTTATTAGATAATGTATTGTCAGAATTAATTGAAATAATAGAAGACGACCGGGAAATAATTTGTAATCATCAACAGTACAAAAGAATTTCAATTTACAAAACCACGCAGAGTATGCAAAAAAACTCATTGCCGACTTTAAAATCTTGTAAAGAAAATTAAATAAGTACATTAAATAATCGTTTCCACTCAATATAACACGAACGTTTACGTTTTGTATGTGGATGTCTTCACGTAATAAAACAATGTTTAATGTTATAAAACTGTGCATCAAATACGTTGTAAATATTATGTATAAATGAGTAAATCAAGTAACACATAAGAATGTCCATTGATATATAATTGTCGTTTAATGTATTCTTTAATTTAGATCTTTGTCATTAAATTATTGTATGGAAAAATTTAATTGATAAGTTCAAATCATATTTTTGAATTACTCGATACAGGGTTGCATGTCTAGTCTACGATTGGTAAAGACAATCATCGATGTAAAAGTGTTTTTGATAAATAAATATTATTTCAAATTGAAAAATATACTTAATTAATAAAGTATCGATTACTGTCGATTACATTTACCATTTATTGATGCATTATCAATACACATTACGAATATATTAAATATTGATGACTAACATACAACATCTTTGAATATACCTACTTGTTTTGTTTTTTTTTTTTATGATACGCACCACATCGATCCTATTAACATTCAAGTCATAGTCGTGTAGTAAAAGCTCGATGGGGTCAATGAACAATAATAAATAATACTGATTTCCCACAAATTAGACAGATACCATTACAAAACTAGTTATAGTGTTCGACCGAGTTGAGAATACTTTGAGTCCATAAAATTGTTGATACAACGATAGAATTAAATCAGTACCTCTATGAATATGCATTGCGTTGCACTGCGTTTGAGGCGTTGGAAGACATGTGCTTGACGCTAAAAATAAAATAGGGGACTCACGTCGTTGTACGTATGCTACAGTTTCATATCTGTCACTCTTTAAATCTACTACGTCAACTTGAGAATGTTTGTTATTTTCTTTTTTTATGTTACTGTAAAGTTAAATGATTACTTTAAAGTAAAGGATTACATCGACATAATACTGCGAACATTAGGAATTATATTGACTTGATCATGACCGTGGAATTACGTAATGGGTTAGCAATGTAAGGACTAACCCTTTATTCATAAAAACGTCAAAAGTGTAAATATATTTTATAATGTTGTAAAACATTTGATATACTTTGCACGCTTAAATAACTTGCCTTTATAATAATAAAAAAAAAAACTGCTTGAAATGAATGCACACTTTTATTGAAGGACGCCATGACACTTACTTAATTACATTTTCCAATGTTGCCAACCTTAGGAACAATAATTTCCAATATACTACAATACTCTCCCTTTACAAGTTCAAACGTTGAGGTGCTGCCTCTGTCTTTCAGAACGCCTCAATATTTGACTTGAATGAGAACTTTCAAAAGAATTACTAGCACAAGCTACTTCTTCATTTTGATTAGTAACAATTTCAGAGGCTATATTACTATTATTACAAATGTTATCTGTTACCTCTGAAACTGGATCAATTACAATTGTGTCTGAATTATCATTACCATTTTTATCATAATTATTGTAAATAGATTCATGAGAATCATTAATCACATTATCATTTAATATATTTTTACCAGTTTCACTTACATGTTCCTTCTGATTCTGAGACAAAGAACGTATTATTTGGTCCAAATGACGTTTCCAAATTAAATTCTCTTCTAAAACTTTACATAAATATGTTCTTTGACCCAAAACTTCATCAATTATACACTTAACAAATTTCTTCTTATTAGGATTTCTATAATCTCTACAATAAACATAATCTCCCTCTTTAAATTTTTCCTCTCTTTTCCCTACTGTTATTTTCTGGTTTATTTCCTTTTTAGTAGATAATAAATCTAATCTGGATCTAAGTTTTCTATTAAACATAGCTTCAGCTGGTGAAACATTAGTAAAACAATGTATTGAATTTCTATAATGAAAAAGATATCTACACATTAAAGTTTCAAAAGACACATTTCTATTCTTGACATCACTTAATGACTTGTACATAGAATTCTTAAAATTCTTTACTGCATTTTCTGCAAAGCCATTAGTAGCTGGATGAAAGGGTGGTGATGTCTCATGTTGAATCCCATTTTTAAAAAGAAATTCAGAAAATTCTTTAGAACAAAATGAAGCTGCATTATCTGTTACTACTACTTTCGGTAAACCAAATCTGCTAAAACATTCACGAAATTTTTCTACAGTTGTATTACAATCTAAATTTTTCATAATAAATGCCTCTGGCCACTTAGTATAACAATCTACAATTAATAATATCATTTTACCCTTTATAGGTCCTAGGAAATCAGCATGTACTCTTTCATATGAAAAATTAGTTCTAGGCCATGAAATAATTTTAGACTTTTGAGGTTCTGGTCTTGCAGACATACAAACTTGACAAGACTTAACAAAATTTTCAATACTATTATCTAAATTTGGAAACCATAAAAATAAGACCTTGCATTGTTCTTCATTTTAACAATGCCCTCATGTGAAACATGAAGCTCCTTTAATAAATTATTCTGTAATTTCTTAGGTATTACTATGCGATATCCCCACATAATAACTCCACTCTCAATATATAATTCACTTTTACGGTTAATAAATGGTTTAAAAGCTTCATTTTTCATATGTTTGAAATCCATACCTTATCATGTTGTAAACACTACTTAAAAGATCCTTTCTAGTTTCAGATCGAATTAAATTTATATCTATAATATTCTGATCTTCAATAAAATTAATATAATCACATTCTTGATTATTACTGTTTAACACTGTTGACTGCAATGGCAATCTTGACATACAATCAGCTTTAACATTTTCAATACCTTTAATATGTTTAAATGTATAATCAAAACTTGACAAATACAATGACCATCGTTGCAGACGCCCTGCTGCCATTTGTGGTAAGCTTTTATGTTCACCAAACAATGCCAATAATGGTTTATGATCAGATAATAATTCAAACTTTCTACCTATTAAATACTGATATAATTTCTGAACAGCCCAATAAATTGCTAAAGCTTCTTTATGAATCATGGAGTAACCTTTCTCCGCTTTAGTATAAACTCTGGAAATAAAACTGATGGGTCTTTCTGTCTCGTCTGGCAAAATATGACTTAAAACTGCTCCTATTCCATTTTGTGAAGCATCACAAGCTAAACGCAAAGGTAAATCTCTACTATAATTAATTAACACATTATCTGAAATAATATCTTTCTTAATTGTATCAAAACTTTTTTGACATTCTTTTGTCCAATTAAATTTAATATTTTTCTGTAATAAATTATATATAGGCTTTAATTTAATAGATAAATTTTTGATGAATTTACCATAATAATTAACCATCCCTAACCATGCACGAGCTTCTGAAACATTTGTAGGTGCAGGTGCCTTAATTATAGAGTTCACTTTTGACATATCTTTAGATAATCCCTTTTCAGAAATAATATGACCTAAATATTTAATGTCCTTTTGAAAGAAAGTACATTTATCTTTATTGAGCCTAATACCTGCCTCTTTAAAGCGTTTTAAAACTTCCTTTAAATTTTGAAGGTGCTCAAGGTCATTATTTCCAGTGACTACTACATCATCAATGAAATTTACTACTCCTTTGGCTCCTAACAAAATCTTTTCAAGTTTTGCTTGAAATATAGCACTAGCTGGTTTAGTACCATAGGGCAATCTATGTAATTTATATATACCTCTTGGTGTGGACCAAGCTAACAACTTCCCTGTGGCTTCGTTTAATATCAAATGATTAAAAGCATTTCTTAAATCCAATCTACTGAACTTTTCACCTCCTTGTAAAGCTGTAAATATATCCTCAATTCTAGGTATTGGGTGATTAAACTCTTTCAAATATTTATTAACAGTAATTTTATAATTAGCACATAACCTTAATTGACCATTCTCTTTGATAACTGGAACTAAAGGTGTACCCCAATCAGAATTATCCACCTTGGAAATAACGCCTTCTTTTTCTAATTTTGTCAACTCCTGATCTACCTTTTCCTTAAATGAAAATGGAATGGGTCTAGGTTTCATAAAAATCGGCTTAGTGTTTTCTTTTGTCTAGACAAATCTCTTCACCCTTAATAACACCTAATTCATTTTTAAAAACATCTGAATACTCTTGCAAAATGCTTTCTAAATTTGAAACGCTTACAGAATTCAAACCTATTAACTCTTTCATGTCCATATCAAAAAGATTCATTAAATCTCTACCAAATAAATTTCTACATCCATTTTCCACTACTAACAAAGAACAATGAACTTCTTTTCCATTTAATTTTAAATTAACTGAAATTTCACCACTTGGCTTCACCAATTGACCACTATATGTTTTTAATTCCAATGCAGTATGGTTTAAGGGGGTCTTCCTATGTGACGGCCTGTTTTTTAGGGATATTTTAGGATTTTTTTTCTACGACCAGTAAATATTTAGAGCTTCAAGTTTTTTATCATTTATTAACACATATTTGGACAGTATAAATATAAAATTTCAGCTAAAAATATTCAGTCAAACTAGAGTTACAGCGCTCTGAACACCCCCGCCTCGAAAAAAAGAGCTCCCACTTCCTCCACGATTCCGGCTGATCGGCTTATCTGAAAAAAAAAAAATAAACGGCGTTTTAATTTGTAGGCTTAAAAGCACGGAATGACCTATAATCAAATGAATATAAAAAAAATTGGATTTTTGATAGACATTTGAAATAAAAGTTGCAAATTAGGCGTTTTTTTTTTTGTTTTTTGCTATAAAAAAATCGAAGTTTTGAAAATTTTCGATTGATAATAGTTCATTCCATGCGTTTACATATATTGAGTGTGCCCTGTAAATTTCAAGTAATTCGGTCCAGCCGTTTCTGAGATACAATGGAGGAAAGTTTGAAAAACACAGTTTTGAGAAAAACGCGTTTAAAGTTTCAAGTCCGTTAAAAACTATTAAAATATCAACTTACTCTCAATCGGCGATGCCTGGTCCATAGAGTATTCCTTCCTCTTCCTCGTGAAACTCTTTTAAAGCAGATTGTTCAGCTCTTGAGTCAATCCTGGCTTGTTTAACGACATCACTTACGCGCCGCTCAGAACGTAAGATTCGCTTTTCATCCCGTTTCTCAACATACGCTTGGGCTTCACGACCAACAGGGCATCCCATAATCGACATAACTTTTAAAATACCTTGAAAACCTTCATTAAAGATAATAACTGCTAAGTAGCTAGCAATTTCAACAATTTTGGGACCAGAATGAAGATGTTTAGGAGCGAAAGTCCAAATCAAAGAATTCAAAGATTCGTTATTGTTTTGTGTCTCTGCTCCTAAACAACGAATTAATAATTCGTCTTTCGATAAATCTTCGAAAACCGGTTTGATAGCTTCTTGGACTTGCGGAATTAGAGGTGGTTTATCGTGATGAAATTGGTCCAGTTCATTATTAGCTTCAGCCTTACGCCATTTACACCAACTGTCTTCGCCTTCTGGACAAAATTGATGCTGAGGGTTTTGATCAGAAGAACATTTGTGATAGTACGTTGCCCAAACTTCCTTTCTCATATCTTCAAGCGAATCTGGATGGCGTCGAATTGCTAATCCGTAGAATTTTGTAATTTCTTGGATAACTTTATCAGTAAGTTTACCTGCTCCTTTTCCTCCTATTCCTTTATTGGTTTTATCCTTTTTAACAGCCCGAAGTCGTGTTCCCATCCTCTTTTCTACGTGACCCACACATTCTTTTTGTGTTACCGCAGTATCTCCATACGGTTTAGTATCTAGGATCCCCTTGAAAGTTTTGCTGTCACCGTCGCCAATGTATGTTAGATACTTTACGCCATATTTTTCTACAGACCTCAGAAACATTTTCGTGATGGCACTTATTTCCATTTTACCGGAACTTCCGGAATGGTTTATGGTGCATTCATCTACATGCGTTTCATACCACATTTCGTATTCTAAAGGATTTTTTTTTTTTTTTTTTTCCACAAATTACATCCACCACAAAAACTACTCATGACCATGACATCTAAAACTTTCCCAGTGTACTTGCCGATCAACGTAGATACGCCGAGCAGAGATGAAAAGCCTCTTTTCTTCCAAGTACCGTCACCTGACACAGTCAATTCATCCTGTGGTTTTCCTGATTTTTCATTCATATTTTTTTCTTGCGTAACAGCGAATGCCAATAAAGTATCACACAGTGAAGATGTAGCAATATGAATGTTTTCCAGTAGTGCAGTATAAGTAGAATTTGCAACACCCGAACACATGTCCATAAAGCTACAGAAAAGATTTACTCCTTCTTGACCAACTCCCAATAATCGCATCGCAAATACAAACCGACGATTAACCTCAAATGCATTTCCGATCAACGGGCCTGAGTTTATAACTGTCTGTTTTTCACACTCACACGATAAAATAATTTTAAAGCCTAGGCCTCGGAAACTTGATCGCGAAATAGACACGTCACTTTTACAAGTTTTACATATAACTATTTCAGAGATTGCAGCAAATACAGAAACAAACTCCAAAATGCAATATGCGAAATTCGAAGCGATGGGAACCTCCATGTTCATGTTATTTTTAAGTTTATTGGCCGAAGCTGATGTAAATACCGTATCATTTTGGTGGGTAAAACGGTTTCCACTAAACTTTCTTTTTTTACTACGACCAGGATGAACATTTTCACTCGTACTTCCTTTCCGTCCACTCATTATGAAAAAAAATAATTTGTAGCTGTTGCTCTCTTCGAAGTTCAACCAAGACTAAAATAACTTCGGTAAAATATTATAACAATAGAAATTTCTGTTTAAGTCTGTAGAAACGTGTCTAAACTTGTATAAACGGATATATGAATAAAAGGGAGGCCACGTATAAAGCCGACGGTACACAATAGGCCCGGGCTCTAACTGCCAACTCAGCGCTCCGAACCGCTCTTCCTTTTACCTGCTGTATCTTTAAAACGACTTCGAATTTTCTAAAATCGCTTTACTACCGTATTCTAGACATGTTAAGGGAGCAATTTATGAAAAAAAAAAAAAATCGATTTTTTCAACCCATCACATAGGAAGACCCCCTTAATTTAACATTACAAAATTTTTCTTTATAAATCTTATAAGGAATGCAAGAAACAGTCGCTCCTGTATCCAATTCCATATCTAATGGTATTGAATTTACATAACATTTTATCATAAAAGGAGAAATATAATTAATGTGTGACTCATGTTTTACTGTAAATATATCCACTGAATTATTTTCAATATTTATATTATTTGTAGGCTTATTTTTACACACTAATGCTAAATGTCCTATTTTATTACAAATTTTACATTTATAAGACTTGTATTTACATCTAGCAAATGAATGATTAGGTTTTCCACAATGAACACATTTTAAAATATTACCTTGGGGACTCTTGTCACATTCCTGTTTATTAAATGTTTTTATTTTTACCTGTGCACTAGATTGTTTACTATTAAATTTATTTGAAATTTTATTCACTGACACTAAATCACTTTGTTGAAATGATGATTCCTTATTTAAAGCTATCTCCAATAAATCTTGAGTATCCTTTGTTACAGGCTCTTCACATAATCTATCTTGTATCGGCCCTGGTAACATTCCCGTAATAAATTTGTCCTTGACATACTCTTCTATTCCTTTTCCAAAATTGCACTCTGTTGCCGCTTCTTTGACACGAGCAAACCACTTGGATGATGACTCACCCTCCGCCTGCCGTAAATTGTAAAACTTTATTCTTTTTCTGAAATGGGCAACTCTTGGCTGAAACCTTAATTTTAAAACTTCTTCAATTTCCCTGTATGATTTTTCTTTCGGTAAAGATGGATGCACCATGCTTTTCAAAATTTTGTATACATCTTGATGTAAGGAAATTAACAGGGTTGGTAGCTGTCTTGCTTCATTTATTTGGTTTGCAGTAAAATGCTGTTCCATCCTTTCCAAAAAACAGTTAATATCATCTCCTTCTTGAAAGGGTTTAAATGAAATATTTGACGCCATGTCGGTTGTAATTTGTAACTTTTAAACAAATTACAAAAATGAAAAATAGCACTTGCGAATTATAAATACTTTTACTTCGTCGCCATTTTATAATGTTGTAAAACATTTGATGTACTTTGCACGCTTAAATAACTTGCCTTTATAATAATAAAAAAAAAACTGCTTGAAATGAATGCACACTTTTATTGAAGGACGCCATGACACTTACTTAATTACATTTTCCAATGTTGCCAACCTTAGGAACAATAATTTCCAATATACTACATATTTGTTTAATTTTTTATACCACAAAGGTGGCAAACAAGCATACAATCCTTCTGATGGTAAACGGTCACTGTAGAGAGACTTTGTATAAAAGTCGATTGCTTGGGTACCTCTGTCCCATTCGTGTTTCAACCGTGAAGCAGTTGTGTTTGCACGGCTGTGTTTCGGTTTGAAGGGTGGGATATGGCGTGAATTTACTGGGTACAGAGGAATAACACCTGAGTCCTCAGGAATGGCAACGCATGGGGGGTATCATAGCCGAAACGGTATACTCTGTTATGTCCATGGTACTGCTCATGTCTATAGGCGACGGTTACCACTTTTCATTAGGTGGGCCGTCAGCTTGTTTGCCATTCTAAGTTGTATAAAAAAAAAAGAAGGCTATGGACGCCTGCAACATTAGGGGTGCGCTTTGCCGACTCTGAAGAAACCTAAAACTAGCCTTATTATTGATGTGTTTTGTTTTTTTTTTCTTTTGCGCTCAATTCTTAATTTGAAACAAAGCCGCAAAATGCTCTAATATTTAAAATAGATAAGAAGGAGGTTTTAGTTTTTATTAATAAGATGGATAATGACTTAGAGATTGAACTGGTAATTTACCCTACATACAGAAAAAGGGCCAAGCACCTGTTGCAGCTTTATGAGATAAAACGCTGACCAGATTCATTAGCTCTGGTCATGTCACCAGCAAACTGGAGTACAACCATATCATTGTTGGCATCTTTCGTTTCATCAGAAGATGATAGAACGAACTGTACGTATCGTTTGTATGCTAATTGCTCAATGACTATGTTTTTTAAATGTACATAATGTCAGGATCATTGGGACAAGGTTAGCTTAAGTAACTGTAAAATGCAATAGAATGTTACTTAACCATATAAAAGACTCAAGTAACTTATTTATATGTTACCAACTAAGGGAGTTTGACAAATCCCTAATTCGCTCCCTTAGGGATAACAATGTATAAAACAAAATTAAATTAAATTATGGGACAAGTAATAACTGGAGTAATGATGATGACGATGATCTATATTAGACCAAAACATACTAAAGACTTTCTTTTGGATTGTGGTTCAATTTTATTATATTCTTGACCTTCTAAGTGGTTGGTTGTATTGTCGTATCGTCGTGTGGTCCCGGCATAGAATAGGCCACCCCTTCCTTTCTCATAGGTGTCGTAAGAGGCGACTAAGTAAACTTAATGGTCGAGGGTTGGGTAGCAGCGTCCTTCTTAAAAAGGTCAACAAAGCGTAACTGCGGTTGCTGATCTGCTTGTCAAGCGTGGCAACTACTGGCCTCTCGATAGAGAGAGGCCTATGTTCTGCAGTGGACAGTAAATGGTTTATATGATGAAAATGATAATGATTCCTACTTCATTTGTTCACCTTTGGACTACGAAAGTATGACCATGTTTTCAAACTTCGCTGATAACTTAAAGGGTGGTACAATCTATACCGGGACCACACGGCAATATAGTTAAATATATAAGTATTTTTGGTAATCAACACAACCGACCGTTACCGGCCTTAACACGAGTTTATTTTAGGAAGGAAAACGGTAAATAGGTACCACAAACCGCTAAACGTTAAGTGTGAAATCAACGTGTTATGTATGAAATTAAATATAATTACACTTCCTTGGACCAGGGTCAGGCTTCTTTCTCTTTTGCGGAAAACTGGACAATCCAGCAATTAGACGTCTGGTTAAATCACTATACACTGTTCAAAGTGTTATTTTCTGAAGTGATTTATTGTGTATGATTTATTGTATATGTATGTATATTAGTACTCGTATTCATTAACCAGGTCGAAAAAAGTATTCTTTTTCTCGTAAAAAATTAGATTTAAAAGAAAAAAAGAAAAACAACCACAATCTGTAGCAACGGCACTACACAGTACAAGGTATGATATACCTATTATTATACTATTATATTTATAAACTATGGGTATATACCTGAAAATAAAGAGATTTATTATTATTATTATTATAATGATTACCTATTATATTTATAATGATATAGTATCTTATTAAAATAATAAATGCGGAAGTTTGCAAGGATGGATGGATGTTTATTAAACCTTCACCCAAAAATATTGAAAATTTGATACCCGAATAGGTTATACCCTAATTAAGTACATAGAATACTTTATGTACTGATTTCCACGAAGGAGTCGATGAATACAATTTTACAATAAAAAAAATAAAAAAAACAGGTAAATATAAGGATAGTTTTTTTTTTAATGGGTGATAATGGAATGGTTACCCCGCCTGTGCTATCGGTATACACTAGCGAGGTACCAGTGATGGATGATAAATGAGGATGAAGTAGGTCAGTTAGCCCATCGTGAAGAATTCAACAAGAATTGTTCACTATGGTTTCCAGGGGGAACCACGTGGAGGTCGACCTAATAGGGCATATTGCTAGCAATGGGGCTGTCAAACTCCATTGCTAACTATCCCTTTTCCCCTAATATAAGGATAGTAGGATAGAGAGAACAGAATAGAATAGACATTTATAATCGGATTCTGATAGGTTGTCTAATTCATTATTCAGATTAAAAATAATGTCGTTATCAACTTTAATCTCAATTTACTGCAAAAAAAAAATGAAATAAAAGTTGATTAAGACAGTACTGTAAATCTAAATAATGCAGCTTTTCTATTTTTTTTATGCAACTTAGAATGGCAAATAAGCTGACGGCCTACTTGATGCAAAGTGGTCATCGTCGTCTATGAACATGAGCAGTACCATAAATACAAGTGTATACTGTTTTGCTCATGATACCCCCCCCCCCCATGCGTTGCCATTCCTGAGGACACAGGTGTTATTCC